GTGAGGGCTGCTCTCATCTTGGTATTCTGGTGCTTCAGGGCATGGGACAGCAAGTCACAACGTTCCATGAAAGTGCCCTTACGCATGCGAAAGTTTCGCAGCCACTGGGAATCGTCCCACATCTGCAACACTATGCGGTCCCACCAGTCTGTGCTTGTTTCTCGGGCCCAGAATCGGCGTTCCACGGATAGAACCTGCCCCATTAACAACATGATCTCCAAAGCACCGGGGCCCGCGGTTTGAGAGAATTCTGTGTCCATGTCCATGTCCTCATCACTCTTGTCGCTGCGCTGCCGTCGCCGCCTCCTCCTCGCCTCGTTTTTCTGGTCCTGGTTCAGCATAAACTGCACGAGAATGCGCGAGGTGTTTACAATGTTCATGACTGCTGTCTTGAGCTGAGCGGGCTCCATGCTTGCCGTGGTATGGAGTCTGCAGTGTTCACCCAGGAAAAAAGGCGTGAAATGGTTGTCTGCCGTTGCGTTCATGGAGGGAGGGGTGAGGCTGTACCCAGAACCACCTGCGACAATGTTTTTTGCCCCATCAGGCACTGCGATCTCAACCCAGAATTCCAATGGGCGGGGGAGACTGGGAACTATGGGATAGCTATGGGATAACTACCCACAGTGCAACGCTCCGGAAATCGATGCTAGCCCCGGTACATGGACGCACACCGCCGAATTAATGTGCTTAGTGTGGCCGCATACATTCGACTTTATACAATCTGTTTCCAAAATTCGAATTCTGTAAATTCGGATTAATCCCGTAGTGTAGACATACCCTAATAATGAGATCCAATGGCTGGATATTGAAACCTGACAAATTCAGGATGGAAGTAAGATGAAAATAACAGATTTACGCTCGGGTGAGTGAGACCTATGCCATGAAACAGATTGTCAGCTCTTTGGAGCGGGGACTCTTTATTCTGTGTTTGTACAGCGCCTAGCGCACTGGGGTCCTGGCCCATGAGGAGGGCTCCTAGGCGTTACTACAGTACAAATACAATAATAATAATAATGCAGGAGGCCAGACTACATGATCACGATGGTCCCTTTGCCCTGAAAACCTATGAAGGTTGAAAATAAGTTATATAGTATATTCTTTATTATTATTTATTTATCTGTATTACCATACTGAGCACATGGCATTGGCCACTGTCAGAAGACAGGATACTGGGCTAGATGGACCTTTGGTCTGACCCAGTGTGGCTGTTCTTATGTTTTTACGAAGTACCTAGGAAACCCAGTTGACTGAAGTATTAAAATACATACCTGTGAGAGAAGAGAATCTATCCTATAAAAAGTCTAGGCAATCACAATAACGAAGTGAACGTAAGTATAAGAGAATGAAAAGAAATATCAGATCCTACACGTGTATGGAGTCTGCAGTGTTCACCCAGGAAAAAAGGCGCGAAATGGTTGTCTGCCGTTGCGTTCATGGAGGGAGGGGTGAGGCTGTACCCAGAACCACCTGCGACAATGTTTTTTGCCCCATCAGGCACTGGGATCTCAACCCAGAATTCTAATGGGCAGGGGAGACTGCGGGAGAAATGATCTGGTATCATCTTGTAGGAGAAATGATCTGGTATCATCCTGTACTGAGAATCAATACATGATCATGTAATTCAAGACTGTATCGTAATACATATGCACAAGGGGCAGGGCTTAGGTTTCACAGGTAATTTTACCTTTGTCAGTTCCTGGCTTCTGGGAGCTTAAAGTTACTTCTTTAATATTCTCTTAGCATAGTTTTCTGGATGGAGTTTCCTAAGGTGTTCTTGTTTAAGAACATAAGACCCATATTGGGTCAGGCCAAAGGTCCATCTAGCCCAGTATCCTGTCTTCCGACAGTGGCCAGTGCCAGGTGCCCCAGAGGGAATGAACAGAACAGGTAATCATCAAGTGATCCATTCCCTGTCGCCCATTCCCAGGTTCTGGCAAACAGAGGCTAGGGGCACCATCCCTGCCCATCCTGGCTAATAGCCATTGACAGACCTATCCTCCATGAATTTATCTAGTTCTTTTTTGAACTCTGTTATAGTCTTGGCCTTCACAACATCCTCTGGCAAGGAGTTCCACGGGTTGACTGTGCTTTGTGTGAAAAAATACTTCCTTTTGTTTGTTTGTTTTAAGAAAGATGAAATTCTCTAGCATGGAATTTGACTAGACCCTCTCCTGCAACTTCCCATCCCAAACAGCTGGCAAATCCCCTCTCTGGCTCACTGTAGGAGCTGGGAAGCTTTTCTTACCTTTGAAAGAGGTGTGGCAAATGACCCAACTCTCCTGCAGAGCCCCCATTCACTATGCCCCCAACTCAGCAACCCAATCCAAATCAATGGGATTTAAGCACAGGCTTAAGTGCTTTGCTATTTCAGGGCCTGTGTTTTTGACTGTGCTGGTGAGCTAACCACACCTGCAGTCTCACTGCAGCTTTCCCTCCGCTCCTGCCCCCGCTTGGCGGTGGTATCAGGCTCTTTGTGGCTGGGTGGAGGTATCAGATCCTAGGCCACGCCATATCTGGCGAGTGTGTGGGGAGGGGAAGGAATCAAATCCCAGCCCCCGTCCCAATATCTGCTTGGGAATGCAGGTATCAGATCCCTGCCTTCCCCCATCTCTGATGAGGGTGCGGGAGGGGGGAGGATATCAGATCCCAGTCCTCCACCTACAGCTGGGGAAGGGGGCAGGAAAGGTATCTGTTCCCAGTCCCACGCGTCCATAGCCGGAAGGAGGGTATCAGATCTCAGCCCCCTTCCCTATAGCTGGTCTCATATCTCCCTCCCCCCCCCCTGGGGGGGGTTGCAGGCCCCCCCCCCCATGGCAGGGGTTGCATATCCCCCTACCCCATGGCTGGGGGATCTCACATCCCTCTCCCCTACGGCAGCAGGGGGGAGCAGATTCCCCTCCCTCATGGCTGTGAGGGTCTCAGGTCCCCCTCCCCTATGCCTGGGGGGGGTCTCATATCTCCCTCCCCCCCATGGCAGGGGTTGCCTATTCCCCCCCTGCATGGCAGGGGTCGCAGATCCCCCTCTCCCCCATGGCTTGGGGGGGGGAGTCTCATATCCCCCTCCCCCATGGCTGGGGAGTGTATCAGCTCTCTCTCTCCCCCATGGCTGGGGGGTGTCTCATATCACCCTCCCCCATGGCAGGGGTCACAGATCCCCCTCTCCCCTGTGGCTGGGGGGTGTATCAGCTCTCTCTCTCTCCCCCATGGCGGGGGTCACAAATCCCCCTCCCCCATGGCTGGGGGTGTATCAGCTCTCTCTCCCCCATGGCGGGGGCGGTCTGATATCCCCCTCCACCATGGCGGGGGGGGGGTGTGT